GGTTGTAAGTTTGGAAAATTGCATCAGCAATCTTTCTCTCAATCTGCAACAATCAGTACAACGCCATTAGAATTAATCTTTGCTAATTTATGGGGTCCTTCACTAGTGGTTTCAAAGGAAGGATACAGATATTACATAGTTTTTCTAGATGATTTCAATCAGTACTCTTGGATATATCCATTAAAACAAAATTCAAAAGCCTTTGATATTTTTAAACAATACCATGTGTTTTTGGAAAGACAATTTGAAACTCAACTAAAGTGCATTCAAACAGATTGGGGAGGTGAATTTCAATACTTTTTACCTTACTTAAACTCCCATGGTATTAAATTCAAACATCCATGCCCTCATGTCCATCAACAAAATGGAAAAGTTGAGAGGAAGCATCGGCATATTACAGAGATTGGCTTAACCTTGCTGGCTCAGTCTTCAATGCCCTTTCACACTATTGTTTACTTGATAAATAGACTGCCAACTCCATTTCTTCAATACTTATCTCCTTTTGAGAAATTAATTCACAAGGCTTCTGACTATAATTTGCTAAAGGTCTTTGGTTGTAGATGTTTTCCCTACTTAAGACCATACAACTCTCGTAAGCTGGATTATCACACCAAAGCATGCATTTTTATTGGGTATAGCTCTTCTCACAAGGGCTATTTGTGTATAAGTGAGACAAGAAGAGTTTACATTTCCAAGCATGTGGACTTTGATGAAACAAATTTTCCATCCAAAAATGTACAACTTACCATTTCAACCCCTCAACAACAACCAAAAGAGTCACTTATGTACTCTTCCAACTAGCAATTTCCATGTGCCTTACTTGCTGATTTTTCTTCTGATTTTCTAGTCCTTCTATTGATTTTCAACTACTATAGTTAGTAATTTAGATTCAATGACTAAGCTCTTGGATGGTAATCTAGCAACATCATTTTCAAATCAATCTCAAAGCAAGAATCCTGAAAATGAAGTCTCTGAGAATGCTGAAACATCAGCAAAAAATAATCTCCAGGGATGTGCGAAATTGTGCACAATAATGCATCAACATTAGTTCAAACTATTCACTTAGAAGTTCAACTTCCTCTGACTCAAAGTTCATCAATTTCACAGCCCACAATTACCAATAATCATCCTATGCTAACTAGATCCAAGACTCTCAACAAGAGCAAGACAAATGCCCTCGTTGTAGTAACATCTCCTGCAATAACAGCCAAATATTCATGAAGCTTTGAGTTCTCCAGATTGGTTCTCAACCATGAAGCAGGAGTATGATGCTTTGCAAGTCAACAACACTTGGACATTAGTTCCTTATGAGAGTCAAACGACTTTGGTAGATAACAAATACGTGTTTCGCATCAAATACAACATGGATGGTAGCATTCAAAGGTATAAGGCTCAATTAGTTACTAAGGGGTTTCAACAAACTCAAGGAATCAACTGCTTTGAACTTTTTGCTCAAGTGTTTAAGCCTTGTAGTATCAGAATTATACTTGCATTGGTTGTCTAATTCAATTGGAAAATTAAGCAAATCGACATCAATAATGTCTTCTTGAATGGAGAACTTATAGAAGTAGTTTACATGACACAACCAGCTAGATTTATAGATCCAAACAAGCCCACTCATGTATATGTAAGTTGAACAAGGCTTTGTATGGCCTTAAGCAAGCCCCTCGGGCCTGGTTTGAAAAACTCAAAAGAGCTTTGTTAGACGCAAATTTCCAAAACTCTTCTTCAGATAGCAGCTTGTTTATTTATCATTCTTCTACAAAAGTTGTTTATCTACTAGTATATGTGGATGACATCTTAATTATAAGTAATGACTTCATTTACATTTAGCAGTTAGTTCATGAATTACACAAAACTTTTGCCTTAAAAAACTTAGGAGAATTGAGTTATTTTCTTGGCTTTGGAGTGGTAAGAACTATTGTTGGTTTCCACTTAAATCAAACTAAGTATGCTGCTGATTTACTCAAAAAGGTCAGAATGTTTGATGCCAATGCTAGCTCAACTCCTATTGCTGCAAACACCAAGTTAGTTAAAGATGATGGTGCTTTATTTGAAAATCCAACTTTATACAGAATTGTTATTGGCAGCCTGTAGTATTTAACCATAACTCGACCAGACTTGTCCTTTGTTGTGAATAGACTAAGTCAATTCCTTCAAAGTCTATCTATGTCTCATTGGGTTGCTTGTAAAAGAATCTTGCATTATAATAAAGGTACTCTCTATGTTGGTCTCAAGTTTTAGCCCTTTCAAAACCTAGTGCCCTTCTCAAAACCCAGTGCTGGAAGGTTTTGCAGATGTAGATTAGGCTAATGATCTTTATGATAGAAAGTCTACTAGTGGTTTTTGTGCTTATCTCTTTGGAAACTTAATCAGCTTGGTATCTCACAAGCAAAAGGTTGTGACATTAAGTTCTACAGAGGTTGAATATAGATCACTTACTCAAGCTTCCACTGAATTTGTTTGGTCTAACAATTGTTGCAAGAATTACAGGTCTCTATTCCTACTTAATCAATCTTATTGTGTGATAACAAAAGTGCAAATGCATTGGCTGCAAATCCTGTATTTCATGCTTGCACTAAACACATCGAAATTGATGTGCATTATGTTTGAGACTTGGTTCTTTCAAAAAGGCTAGTTGTTCAGTATATTGCCATTGAATTTTAAATTGTAGACATACTTACTAATCCTTTACCTATCACACGATTTCAAATGTTGTGTGATAAACTTCATTTGACCTCTTTTGTTAGTTTCAGGGAGGACATACAGTCCATTGCTACCTCTCTTATGAGTTTCAGGGAGGACATTATGTCCCCTCACTCTTCTTCTAGTCAACTTGATCAACCTACCTCTTCATCAATTAGTGCATCTTCAAGTCAAAATGAATTCATCTGTAACAATCCTCCTTAACAAAACCAATCACCTTGGTCTTTACAAACTTTTGTAGCCTACTGCTACTTAGTTCGAGGAATGATGTTACAATATCAAAGGTGTTGGAAGTATTGCATTGCAGTTGATTGTTCTGCTTTAGATTATACAAGCTTTTGCAACCTATTGCTCAGCTTGAGGGAAGATGTTACAATCAGAAGGAAAACTGCAAAACTACAATCATCATCAATAAAAAATGATCACGTTTCAGATCAAGATGAGTGGCTGAGATTTACAACTCTTTTGCACCTTATAAATTTGTAATAGCACTCATGTGTACTGTTTTAGGAGTGCCACTTGCTCTAGTCATGTTTAGAACTAGTATAAAAAGGCACTATGCCTTCACGTGTATTGCATTGAATTTTTCTAGATTTTAATAAAAAAAATTTGCAGATTTTACTTTCTCTGTTTTTCTATTATTTTTCTGTTTGGCTTCCTGGAAAGTTTTACGACTTTCTTGCTTTCGATTCTAGGACCTCTTCAGTCTTCAACAAGTGTGACAGCTGAAGATTAATTTTGTGTCCTAGTATTCAACAACTATGTTAGCTAGAGACTAGATTAGGCTTGACCACCTCCACTTGCTAATTTTTTGTTGGTTTTTAGGATTGGTTTCTTTTTTCATTTTATCCAAATAATAAGCATGCAATTCCCCTATAAAAGGGTTATGTAAGCCAATTCATTAATATGAGATTAGAGTGTTTTTTTTTTTCTATGTTGTTTTATCTACCAAAGAGTATCCTAGTTTGTTTCAAATATTTTTCCTGGACGTTGAAGAAACTGTGGAATATTCATATTTGTCAAACTTATGAGTTATGTGTGTACAACAATTATGTGTGCACACTGGTTGCCAATCTTATGATTTAGCTTGTTTCATCTGTTGTGTGTGTGCACGCAGAACTACCATACTTGTGTCTTGGTTTGTTTCATTTCGAGTGTGTGTACACAACAGGTTGTGCTTACACTCTCACTACAGACATTTGCAACCTAACACGAGTTGCATGTCTGATAAAGTGAAAAATATATTGTTTATCTTTGTCTCTTACTTTTTAGGACATTTTTTACATGTGTCATTGTATCCTTAAGTGGTCCTAGGGAATAAAACTATTTTCCCAATTTGTTTTGTGGTCCAAAATAAAAGAATGAATATTTTCCTTATTTGGACAAACATTGGTCAATCCCTTGTTGACTGACTTGGCACTATATTGGTGAGCAAGAAATCCTCCATTATATAATATTCTTTCTTGTGTGTATGAATTTAACCTTTTGACAATTTGTTTCATTGTACTATGAATTTCTTAGAGTATTCTTTCTCTTAAGGTTCAAGGTTTATTTCCATTGTATGCCAAAACCTCACCATATCAAACATAGTCTTAATGGCTCTTGGAACGTGGTTCCTTTGCTGATGCTGGTGCGTGACATCGGTGCGTGACATCGGTGCTTGAAGCTTGGTATTTCACAAGTTATTCTTAGGTGTATTCCCAGTATGAAGAATATCCAAGGAGTTGCTATACGTTAAGGATTCAGAGTGTGGTGCTAAGTGTAAAGTTGAACAGATGGTTCTTTTTATTGTAACTTAGATCAACTTTGAACATTATCTTGTAATGTGTTTTTCACTTAGTGGATTGCTTTGATTTGGACAAGGTCCCATGGATGTAGGTTAAAAGTGGATTTAGTCGAACCATATATATAGTTGTGTTCTTTATTTTTCACACTTATGTTTGATGTGTTCAAATTGGATTTGTATAATCTACTTGGTAAATATTTTGCTGCACTTTAAAATGGGCACTTAAACACAAAGTGAGTTGGTCTGAGTTTACCAACTCCAACAGAAACCAACAGTTTGTGGGTATGAGTTTTTGTCTTTAGTAAGAATTACACTAGCTAGTCATTAGATGAATGTTAACTAATTACAATATGATTTCTCTAACAATAATTTTCGTTGAGTGAAGTCGTTAGAGACTCAAGTTGACTTTGTACCAAAATTTAATAAGAATATAATATAGATATTATAACTAATTAGTCTCAACAACATTGTAGACATCTTGAGAGCTGAAACAATATATGTTCACAATAGTATATTATGATCTCTTGAATAATTGCAACTTTACACGGTATTTCACTTTCATTTATAACTTCAGCTACTTATGTTGTATGTGATGTCACATATATTGTCAGACTTTTCATTTCATTGTAGTTATATATATCCGGATCATCTTTCTCCAGGTGCATATTTCTTCTCCTCATATAATTTTTGGGGCGAGGCGCAGTCAGATTATTCTTTAGTTTAGTTCTGCAGTTTCAAAAAATATATGTGGGATCAATGTTGAAATAGAAAAATTAATTAATTCGTACCAAATGTATATTTTTTTCCTTACTAATTTGTTCCCTAGTTTTCTTCCTCTAAGGTGTGAAAAATATTATTCTTATACCTTTACTTGTTGCTCTTTCTGATGTATCATAAGGCCGTTGCTCAGGCTGGCTCAGTTGAAGATGAACTGGGATATGTGAATCTTCTCCATTGCTCAAACTGTATTGAATGAAGGCATTTCCGCTGGTTTCATTCGCTTCCCTTGAGCCATAAACCTGAGAGATATGGTATGCCTTATTGTTGGTCATTAGCTTTACATGCATTTTACAGTTTCAGATGAATATTTAAAATAATTAACAAGTTTTCCGGTTTGAATTAATTATAATACATACCTTCTTGTATAACTCCATATTTTCTTGACGAATGAGGTTTACCTTCTTATAAAGTTCAACATTTTCCTGATGTATAATAGTCCCCTGAGATGAAAATTTTTTTAAAAAAAAAAAAAAAAAGAAAGGTAATTGGTACTAACAAATTAATTGATTATTAACAGAAGATAAAGAGTGAAGAAGGTGTAATTTCAGAATTAATTAAGACCTTTTGGTTTAGCTCTTGTATTTCATCGGTTAATATTAGTTCCTGCAGAAAATTAGAAGAACATGTTAAGTGTAATGCATATGCTACTGTATTTCAAATGGGATGCCTTTATATTAGTTATAAAATTAATAAATCTGATAAAAATTGAAAAATTTTGACCTTTTTGAGACGAATGCCCCGCAAACTCATTTCCAATTGATTCTCTAGATTTTGTAGGTCTTTGAAATTCAAACCGTAAAGTTGTTCCCCCATCAAAAGTCTGTCATATAAATAAGAAAGTAGAGTAAAACTTGTTGGAATGTAAACACTATTTGGTAGTTGATGAAGATGTTGCTGCAGAAGAAAAAGCAAGCAAGAAGAAACAAGAAATTGTAGCTAGGATCTCGCCGCGGCAAGGAAGGATGATGAGTTCCGGAAAAAATTCCAAAAACTCACCACCACGGCGTGGAGAAAGTCATGCCACTGTGTAAGTTCGAGTTAATGAGCTCCAGAATTTAAGTCTTAGGAAAATTCCTATTTTAGGAGTTTGAGTTTATGAATATTTGTTTTCCTTTTCCTATTGTGAGTTGAATTAGGGAAGTAGAATTGGTTTAAGACTTTACTTTGAGTTAAAGTAGGAAATTAGGTTAAAATATGAGTCCTATTAGGATACAAAATATGAATCCTATTAGAATTTGGTTGTCCCATAAACTACATACAAATATAGAGGTGAGAATCAATTCATGATTATAAGAGAATGGAGATTGAGAAAATGTGATAACACAGGGGTTATTAAACACTATAGGTGGAGTGTCCTAGAAATTGTAATTGTTTCTGTCTTATGTACTAGATTGATGGCGTTATACACTCTTGTATATCGTGTTCATGAAATTATAATAGATTTCTCTCATGGATGTAGGCGAGTTATGTTGAATCACATCAATGTTGTATCTTTGTGTGTGTGTGATATTCTTCATATATTATTTGTTTACTTCCAATTCCAACAATTGGTATCTGTGCATCATCTTAATTTCCAACAAAGCTAACCATTTGTCATAGAGCGGATGATCTTCTTAAAGAGTTTCATCATTGTGATATTCTTCATGAGCTTATATCTATTGGGAATGGTTTTCCTATAAGGTCTTATTTTTTTAGACAATAGAACTTATATATGCAGGTTAGGGGCGAAGTTTTTATCACATGCTAGTGAAAAAGAATTTATAAACAACAAAAGGGCCGTGTGAAGCTCTCTAAAGAACCTAAAGAAGGCAAAAGTGAGTTCCAGTGAGAGAGAATATAAACGTTTGACTGGCAAAAAAAGGGGAAATATTTGTCGAGTAAAAAGATTAAGAAGCAGTGGTTTCTCATCATCATAAATCGTTGGTATATAGTGAATATAAGCTCTATCATATTGGTATCTAATGTTATTTGATTAGCTGGGAGTGTGCTACATAAGATGTCCTATTTATTTTTCTTTGTTTATATTTTCTGTCCATGATTATTCAGTATGTCACAAGACATTATTTTAGGGTTATTTCATTTTCGCACTATTATACAACAAACTGGAAGTAGAATATGCCGATTTGACAACAGCAGCAACAAATACTAATATTAATTTTGTATCAGCTGATTGAGTAATTGTTGATTACAAACATTGATTTCATCACGAGGATTATCTTTCAGAAATCAAGTCATAGGAAGGCTCACTTTTGCTATTCCTAAGATTTTGAGGCGCCAATCTATGCCAGTGACACTTACTTTTTGAAATTCTGAGGAAATATGTAATTTCGATTCTCTCTTAATGAGCTTAGTATGATCTTCTGGTGCCTTCATTTTCAAGGTATATAATTTCAGCCTGCTAATAATCAAAATTAACCTAAAACTATTATATAGTTGTGTTTAACTGAATGAAGGTCACAAGCATTGAAGCAAATCACTACATACATATATGCTAAGCATAACGTGTGTATTAAATTGAACTACTCTTACAGCCTGCTATGAATATTGAGTAAAATCAAGACCATAAATATTGGTCAGCTAGCAACATGCATAAATTACATGATGCTGATCATTTTTTTGTTAGAGAAACCTATTCTGTTATGCCATTCTTTCTTATTGTTCAGGGATATATGTTTATTGTGAGTCATTAATCTTTTCGTATATTGTTTGCTGCTGACATAACTAACATTCGTAAAATGTAATCATGTTATTTGTCAATTCATGTTGTTAACATTTTTTCATAATTACATGTATCTAATTCTGGGCTCTAAGAGAAAGAACATTTACCGATGATTTTCTTGCAAATTGTGTAGTTGTTGCCCCAACATCGCTGCCTCCCTTTTCCAAAACTAGCAGTACAATAGCACAAATTAAGCTCCACATGTGTAATTTTAAGATTTTGTTTATTTTCATAGAAGTGGCATGTTATTTATTAACTAATGATGCCCATAAGATGACATGAGGTAAAGCAAGATAAGCAACAAAGATGTTGAACAATCTACATTTTTCATTACACATTAATTTGGAAAGGCTCTGGGAACAAACCAAACTAAAGCAAACATTTGGGCATGAAATGCAACATGTTTACGGTAATGCCCAAGTGTGAACATCAATACCCTTCACATAGGATCTTGCAGAGACAGTATATATATACCACGTGGATGTTGTTTGATGGAGACTAAAAATTAATATAACTATGTTGTTTATTTGCTAATGATATGTTAAATTCATGATTTAGTTTCAGAGCATATCATATGTACTCAGAATATAAAAGGAAACCTATTACACAATTAGTATATGATATATCCCACATTTGACCTGCAATTGAATATTTTTGTCCATTGTGGTGCTTCCAAAACATCTCAAATACATATGGCTACTTAATTTTGCTGGAAATCTAACTGTGAAAGCTGAGATTGTAGTTAACGCAGTATACCTTTACTTCTGATGGTGGATTCAGAAATTGCTGATGATCCTCTTTTAAGTGGCTATATCGTTCAAAAACTTGTTTCATGCTGTGGTAAGCCAATCAAATGGTAAGATTCTTGCACAATTGACTGCATATATATTTTCAATCTATATAACATAAGATCATAACAATGCAATAAGAAAGGCTGCAGCTAATCAGTAGTCAATGTGTTACAGAAAATTGAAGATAAAGATAATAAAGGCCGCAAAGTATATCAACTAGAAGAGAATTATTGCATGTTGTTGTCTGGATTCTATGATTGTTATGCTCATACATTAGTAGGCAACATATATGGTAATCAAGGAAAAGTCCATGCGAAAACCTTGGGAAAATTACAAGGTATTAATTAACAAGTTTTTTCTGTAATTTTTGAGTTCTTGGAACCTCAGATCTCCATGTTTGAGCCGCTAAAGTTTTGACTTACACTGAGCGAAGTACTCAAATTAACAATAGTAACTTATCTTTTCATATTTTCAGTTTGTGTCAGTAGCTTCCCAAGATATTTACAGTGAGAGTAAATTAACTACTGATATAAGTGAAGACACAAGTATCTAAACTAATTAAAATACTAATCTGTTAAGCAGAATAACCAATTATTTTCTTAAATCTTACGACTCTCCCTTAACTATATGTAATAAAAGACTAATTAGAAATCAACGTTATAAAAACTTGAAAGGCAAATTGTTTGGTTCTGAGAAAGGCAAATTGTTTGGTTCTGATGTCATTTGACTTTGATCATCAATTCATTGGCATATGATATTGCAAATTAGTTGTGACAGTATAATTACTCGAATTTATCAATGTGACGATCAACTCTTATAAACATATATAGTTCAATGATTATCAACTTCTATCCCTAGCCATGATTTGAGCAACTTATACGGGGTAGCCCTCGAAGTTTAGGTAACTAACCCCAACCCAAAATTTAGTTATTATTTTCAAAGTTCTTAAACATTTTATTCATAGCATTTGCTATGGCTATCAATAGTTGGAAAGTTCTCACAGCATTTACTTATGAGAAGTAAAATCAACTCTTATATGAACTAAAAAATTTATATATTTTTCTTATATCTTTAACTTGATATTAATATCAAAAATTTATGTATATGAATGAAATTTTTATGTGGTTTGACCTCCCATTCATAATAGATCCAGGCTATGCACTATCCTGAGAATCTGATGCTCCATACAATCCTCATTTGTCTTAATTACTCTATATAGATTATACCGGTATACCCCAGAGCATTGGACCATGGATTTCAAAAAAATTTCCTAAGGTCATAATAAGTTCTTTTTCTAATAACCAAATGTGACATTCTGATAACCAACTCACTTAATCTATTTTGATCACTCTATCCAGTACCTCAAGAGTCTGTCCAATGCCTCAAGAGTTTGATTATGAATAAAGAGTCATAAATTCTCATGCAGATTGCTCGCTTTGGATCCAATTTACATATTGGATCTAATTCACAAGATTTTATTGTTTACAATCATCCCAAAAAGAAAATCTTGCAACACTTTTTTAGAAGGGATTCCACGTAATGAACCTCTCTTTATTTTTGACACATTACTCTCCCCCCTCACCCCCTCTCTTCATCTAGTCCATCTTTATTAATAAGCAATCTAAGAAAAGTTTAATTCATAGAGTATTAACTCTTATGTGGGTTTATTTGGTTGATCTCATCGAGCCAACGGGTTCATCTACCTCAACATTCTGCTTAGATACCCTTATCCTTTACTTCCCCAAAAACCTTCTCTCCATCAGCCACCAAAAACTAGAGCCGGCTCAGGAAATTAAATTGATCCTTATGAAAGTTCTAAATTAGGCTTTGTTATATTCATTAAATAAAAGCAATTAATTAGAAAAAATATTATTGAAGGAAAAATATTTTGAATTTAGTTGAGCCCCAAAATAAGTACGCATTTAATTTTTAAATTAGCTGTTCCGTGGTAGTTTTATGATATGTTACCGTTTTGCTTTAACATGTTAAATGTTACTATAATTAACAACCATATTAATATCCTAAAGCATTTCAAAATGTTAATCATTTCAACTGTTTTTGTTTACAAACAGATATTATAATACTTATATTCAAGCATGAAAAGAATACAAGTATACAATACTTATTTAAACAATTGAATCCATATTAAGATCCATTTTTTATTTTATGAAGAAATAAAAATAAATATTTATTGTTGCATAATACAAACAGATATTTTAATACTTAATTTGTCAGGACTTTTAATGGAAGTATGAGCACTTGAGCAGTCCTCCAACTTTTGGTTTCTAGAAGTTTCCATCTTAGGTTCTCTGCACATTATCTAACGTAATATTTATGATTGTCTTTCCTACTTATGCAATAGTATTTAGTGCTTCTTGATATATTTTATGTGATTGTTTATATGTGAAAATTTTGAACTCATGAAAAATTTTAGATCCTAAGTCCTAACAAAATTTATGAACAGTTATTGTCTTTGATAACTAGTGGTAGTATACTCTTAAAGAAGGAAACTATCACCTCCAATGAATGGAGACTCACTTAAAAGATGCATCAATCAACAAAGAAGTTTTTCATAATCGACTCATAACACGAACTTTTTATGGCTAGAGGAAGGTTAGTGACAATACCAAAAGCAAATGAAAATTAATCGATCGATATCAAAGTCTCAACACTACAGAAGCTGATTGTACCAAGCATCACAAAAAAGGACATATGAAAGATGTTGAGTGCTCTAATTAAATACCAGATATGTCTTCTCACTAGCTAAGTGGATAAAATGCTTGATTTTAATTGTTCCAATCACCACATATATATGTTAAAACACTGAATGGTTTTTCAATGACAAAGTGGTGAATGTTGAAATCATATAGAGGGGAAACAAACAACATCACCAATAAAAGGTTGGAAATAGCTAGAACAATTAAATATCAAGTTAAATGATGAGTTAATTTTTATGATCATGATAAATGTCATTTGAACTAAGTTACAGATTTAAAGAGAACCTCAAAACTTGAATGGAAGAAAGATTTTGAAATAGAAGATGAAGTGGTTAAAATTAGGTTTACATAATGAAAGGTAGTAAAAGGAAAAAACCTATGTTAATATCTTGAAGGGTATACGTAACACCGTGAGCCGGTGACATATCGGATTATTGTGTACCTCTATAACGATAACTCTATTTGAAATTTGTTTTAACTGGTCACTACCAATATCTAATGATGATTCATGATATGCATATGAACCAAGAATATAGAAAAGAGTGGGGGCGGTCTAATTCTTTTAATTAAAAAGTTGAAATAAAATTGCTTTACATTTAATCAAAGTCGTTGAAGTTGCCCAATAAGGATAAGAATGCTGAAATGTTTGACAACAAAGATATAAGCTTGCTACATAAGTTAACAGTAATTCTAATTAATATATGATCAATTGGACTTTAATATATAAATTAACCTTATTAATTATCAATCATCATTAACTTTTGTTAGTGGAGAAAATTATTATCCTTATTAATGACCAAGGTGGAGTATGATAATACAAAATTTATATTATATGGTCCTAAATCGAAATTAAATATTAGCTTTAGGATCAAAATATGATAAAGGTTTCTACCTAACGCTATAACTAGCTGTACTAGTTGGACTCCCTTAAAGCATGAAGATGGCAATATTAATTTGCTTGTTCAATGTAAAATCACTATCTTATATTAAAAAAATAAAAAATAAAAAATAGGGATGCTACTGCTAATGGGATCATACGATGATTAATTATGGGTTTCTATCGACAATTAGAAAAGCAACTTAAAGGCATGGAGAGTATACGATATATATCAAACACCAGTAGCTGGGTAGAAGATCAAAAAGTTTTAGTCACCACTAAGGTCATGAAAAGAACACAAGCAAACTGAAGAAATGATATTATATATGAGAACACCAGTTTGACGATGGGATAAAAAATATAGAATATAAATCATGCAATTCAAGCTAATTAGAAATGCAAGATATCCTCTTGGATAGGGCTAAAGAACTTACATATATGATATATTTACAGTACCTTTAAATATTTTGTTGAACTGATGAGCTGAGGATGTTAAAGATCAGTATGTAGCTTTATTATTTAAAGAAGCAGTGAAGGCTTAAAGGCCTAAGAGGAACAGTTTCGCTCAACTAACTAAATCCAAATTTTACAGAGACTGAATAAGGAAAGGGCTAAGGACTAGAAGATTCAGTTATCTTTTTGTGTATCGCCTCCCCTTATGTTGAATGCAATTCTTCACAACCACATTCGACATTTCATTCCTTATGTCAATCAAAGATAATGATAAATCAGTCCTATTCATATCATTTTATTTGTTTTCTTGCAATATCCCCTTATCTATTCCTATAGTTTCAACACTATAAAACAAAATTTCATGTTCACTTAACCTTGTTGAACCGCGATTTTGGAAGCTATACATATTCCAAGCTATAGCTGAAGGAGTGAGACCGTGAGACGGATGATATAACACATTGTATAAGCAAATTAGGCATGCGAATTTTAGTCTCTCGTAATTGCCTTTTTACATTTATCAGTTTACTCCATCTTTCGGTCTTTCCCCATATCCATCTTCTGCACCGGAGTTGGAATTTTGTTGGTTTTGATAACGCATTCTATGGCACCAAATTAGCTCAAGGCTTAGCTATCCCATCTAATTTTTCGTAACAGGGAGACTATATGGGGTATTATTTCTGCTATATATGATGCAGCTCTTCATTTCCCTATAGAAAACAAACATAACATCGTATGGCCATGCCCTCCTACGAAAGTCTCATTTTTTTGCTGGTAAAAATGAAAGTGATACCCTTGCAAAATATGTTTCGGTCCAAACCTAAACCCTAGCTAATACAAATCTTTATAAATGAAAATTTATGACTGTTATTAAATGTAAGGAAATCTAATAAACAGCAGAAAGAAACCAGTTAAAGTTTTGATATACTGAACATTTATGCAGTCATGAAGTCCTAGGAAGATATATATGATTCAGGTCCGAAGACTTTCTTGATTCCAAAATATGATGGCTTATTAACAAGAACGAAAAAACAGCAAGAAAATAATATCAAACCTGGTGCTCGCAAACTCATAGAGCTTTCCTGTGCTTGAGAAGATGGCAAGTCCAACTTCTGCATCACAAAGAATTGCCAACTCCTTTGCCTTCTTAATCAATCCTTTTCTTCTCTTTGAGAAAGTCACTTGCCTGCTTGTAGAATTATCGATCCTTCGGATCGCAATCTTCCCCCTCCCCATCCTTTATCAGTTGTGTTCTAGGGTTTCTGCTCACAGTATGAAAAGATACAGAGTTGGTTCATTTTGAAGGATAAATCAAGGATTACTATTACCTTCATAACAAGAAGAAATTAGAAGAACTTACTGTGGAGAGCCCCAAGGACGACTTAGAAAGGATCAGTTAGTGATTTTGGTGATGAAACAGCTTTATAAGAAAACAAATGATTGTGGGGCGCATAAATGCCTACTGGGGATATTAATGGAGTGATTTTGAAGTACTGTAAGGGGTACAACAGGGAGATCCATTTAGACTACTTTACATTTATTGTATGTAGAAAATTTTGATTGTGCCGTCACCATATACAGTGATGACACGTGGAAATACGAGTTTATCGATGACACGTGAAAATACGAGTTTATCTATGACATCTTCAAATATAAATACATCAATATTATTTATTTTTTCTATATTAAAATAATTGAGCAATATTAAACTTAAAATTTTTTCATACAACACTAATATAAAAGTTTAAGATTGATCAAATCGTAGTAAATTCCGTCTACACAAATACAAACTAATAAATAAAGAACTACAACCTTAAGGATTATATAAAAAAATTGTATAAAAAAATTGTAAGTGTAGTTTTATTGTAAATAGTTTATCTATGAAGTTGAGATTAGCATTATATAATTTTTAACTATTCTAAAAGCAGAAGCATGTTTCATTTAATTACTATTTAATATATTTTGATAAAGGAAGAAATTAAAGATATGGTGAGCGCTCCTTAAATTAGATTAATGGTATACGTATACATAATGTTCAATTACATATTTGTTGTTGTTTTCTTTCTTTTTGGATGTATAAGATACAATATTAGACGTGCATATTAATTTGGAAAAATATACTGCGAAACATAATTTTCTTTTTAAGCTTTAAAAAATGCTTCTTGTACAATTAACAAGAAATGTTGCCAAAATCTGTCAAATAATATTTAATTAATATATCCACAAGTCTTTTTATATCTTTTTTTTACTAAGGTGTTATACACTTGCATTTCCCAAGTAACCCTAATTCTTTTTTTAACTCAGCCAAAATTACTGAAGGCAATCTAAATCCAAAAGCTGGTGAGTTTGCAGGTGGTCGGGTAAAACAAACTAATTTCGGGGGATTCTCCACGTGTCAGACAAAACATTGGGGTTAGAGAAAATGGTTTTGTTTGAGGTTTCCAAATTAGGTAAAGATAAATCGGATTCATATGCAAATCCAAATGTAAAGGACTTATTCTTTCTTGGTTGTTGCACGTTTTCTGGTTCCTAAATATTTTTCTCATTTGGTAGTTGGATCGGAACTCCCTCTAGTTAATCTAACTTCCATTACTTTTTATAATCAAAAGCAACAAATTACATATAGAAAACGTTTACACACAGTCAATTTCCTTATCTATAAAGGTGCCAAAAGGAATTAATCCACAGCCTCAAAATGCCAATTCGATCTTTGCCTTTTCTATACTTTCTTGACCCTGAGATCAGCATTACAGGAAAGATGTGATATCTTTAAAGAACATAAAATACCCATCAAATTCAATTTATTGATATAATTTAGGAGAAATTATATAATGCAAGTTGCATGAAATTAATCTTGCAAACACTGACACACACATGTGAAAGCCTAGATTAAGCATCCGCCAATCGAGGGAAGGATTGGCACGCTTGTATCGTTCAAAGCCAATGGCAAACAGTCCGTACTAACCTTCGTCAAATGTGTAAATATAAAGGAGATATTCTACTAAGATAATGAAGAATATATATTAGTATAATGTATCACCCACATCTTGGTTTCATTATCACTTTAGATTTTAATACTTAATTAATTACTTTGTTGACCACATCTATGCAAAGATTAGGGGCCTGTTAAGACACCAATAATCATAAAGGTTTGGTGACTGTCCCTATTCTGAAATTGCCATTGGCTGAAGCCCATGTGAACGTGATTTGTTAGACCAATAAGATTCGATCTCGCCTTAAATTGTATTAAGGTCCTTGGATTAAGAAGTCGCCTAATTCAAGATTAATATTAAATTAGTGCAGCAATTATGCCTCAGGTTACGAGCTTGGCCAGGTGTCAATCATCAACAAATGATAAATGTGATTAGACCAAGAATAAGTTTTTATGATGTATACTTTTTCATTAGTTTATCATCCCAACAAATGAAATGTCACTTTACTGAGTCATCAGACAATTGAAAATGGCTTCTTTCTAGTTGCGATGTTAACATTTGTATATGATAAAGTAACTTTAGTTTAAGACAGGTGCACATGAACGTCATCATAATTCTCAAATTTCTCCACCCTAGGAAATTAAGGAAGATATGCATTTTTTTTTTTCTTGAGGGGGGAGAGTTCTGTCCCTTTCCATGTTTATATTCTCAAAGTTCACATAAATCATGGATTGACCCAAGTTGCAATTTCATATTATTTTGGACCAAACTTTCTTTACTTTGCATATGCTTTGATTTTTGTCGGAAATTAAAGATGGAAACATTCTAATGTACTCTACCGCTGACACTTGTTAACTAGGGTTTTAAAACTTCTAGGCTAAGCCTTGGTTATATCTTCCTGTGTCAAAAGGCATATATCAGAGTAAATTGCCACTGTTTCCAGATAACAATGTACTTTTTATAGCCGGCTCTAGCTGGGAAAATGAAGATGATAATGCACAATTTTTTCTGGCGAGCTTTTGAGTGTTTATACTTCATATTTGGCATGACACTGAAAATCTCTAATCTTAAAAATCTGATATAGTAACAATAACTTCTCCAAATGACACTAAATTCCCAAATTCCAAAGACTTATGATGTGAATCTATATACACGAAGAAGTTCACACAAAAGAAAGAAAGAAACAGAGAACAAGAAACTTTGAGAGAAACAAAAAAAAAAAAATTACTTCTATCGTGTTATTTCAAGTCAGATCAAAAGAGTTTAAAAAGTGTTTATATAATACAAGTTAGTCCAGGCTGGTAATCCTTGTGAATAACTAGCTACAAAATCTCAGCATTTCATTTTAATCAAACAAACACACTCTTAGCATAATAACACCGTAGGATCTGTTCTTTAGTAGCTACAACACTCATTGACCTTTATAACTAACATCAGCTTCTTTCTAACTAAACCAGTTTCTCTGTTTTTACATATTAACTACCTTAGCTTCTTTCTGACTAAAACAACTTCTCTGCTTTAACATCATCCCTCAGTTTGAGACTCAGATGCTCACTAACATCTTCCCTACAGTAATGTAAACTTTCCCATACTTATTCAAACAAAGACAGCCTTTATGATGGAAACTATATCCAAGAAAGAGACATGGTTCAGTATGATAAGAGAGTTTGTGTTTTTGGTATGCTGATAAATGGAAAGCATAAGCATCCAAAAGTTTTCAAAAGAGTGTAAACTGGATCTTTGTGAAACAAGAGCTAAATGGTGCATGATTTTTTAGAATAGGTGAAGGTAATCTATTTATAAGATAAACAGTAGTGTGAAAGGAGTACCACCAATAATGAGGCATGGAGGCTTGAGCAAGCAATGTCAACCCAATTTCAATTACATGTATGTGTTTCCTCTCCATCTTACTATTTTGTTGGTGAGTATGTGAACAAAGATGTCTAAAATGAATACCTTGACTAGTAAAATAAGTGACTAGAGGTCTAAACTTTCCTATCCAATCTGACTTAAGGTCCTTATTTTGGTGTAAAATTGTTGTTTCACCAGTTTGTGAAATTGCATGACTATAGTAGCTACTTCAGACTTGAGTTTCAAAGGATAAATCCATGTATACTTGGTGAAATCATGAACAAACAATAAGTAATTTTTGTAATCAAGTGAGGAATTAACCAAGGTAGGTCATCACACATCTGCATTCACAAGTTCAAAAGGTGTAGTAGACTTAGTTGTAGTATAAGCAAATACACTCTGATGGAGCTTTCCAAACTGACATGTTTCACAAAAACTCATTTTATTGATATGTCTATGATTTACAGATATTTGAAACATAATCTAATCAAGTACAATAGCATAGGGGTGCCCTAAAACGTCTATGCCATAACAATTGGCCTTTATTTTCTTCATCTATTTCTTCAACGGGTACTATGATTTTTATTACACGTATCAGACATATAACTTGTATCAACAAGAGAGCCAATGTTAGCAACAGTGAGATCTGAAAATATTTGAGTAGTGGATTGATGTAAAGCTAAAGATGGTTGATCATATTACTGATGTCCACTGTTTTTCCAATTGCAATAAAAGGAATGTTCAATTGATACAATCCATTTCGAAGAACTCCTCTAAGTAGCACTTCCTGCGAAACCTTGTCCTTCACAACACAATCGTCAGTAGAAAACTCTACTAAGACATTATTATCTTTGTTATTTGGAGATACTAAGGAGATTCTTAGTAATCTAAGGAACACATAAAATGTTTTTGAGATACAATGATCTTGTTATATTAGTAGGGCAATGGTTGAACTTGTGTGTGATATGTTCAAGTATTGGCCATGCCTCCTTGTAACTGATTTGGTCCATTGTAATTAGTTTTCAAAGGCAAGTTCTAAGACTCTATGGCATGTGATGAGTTGCTCAAAATAATGTACCAATTCGGATCAATTACTGTTGAAGAAGATGTTATCATGTGAGTTGGACTGATGTGAGATTCATAACCTTATGGCATTGAGGTAACACACTCCTATGTTGGTTTGATTGGTGTTTCTTGGAAGAAAATCTATGACTAAATTCAGATGATTGTATGAAGTTATGAATTTGGTAGATAATTCATGACATAAGTATTTGGTATCCAGACTTATGAGAGTACTAGAACAACAAAATAGCTTGAGCAGAAGCTACAGGATGATTTTTCTGAGATGAGCTATTTAAATTGGTTTCATAGTATTGAGGTGGTTGATTCCTTGAAATGATGTGTCAAACCTATGTTAACATTGCAACACAACATGTCTTGATTTCCCACACA